ACCTGTAAAACTGTCAAAAGGCAAACGAAAGCAGAGAACCGAGTATGGGAACGCTTTCTGGTAATTTCCTGTAAATTCTTGCAACTTCTTGGGAGTTAGGGAATGCAACTATTACTTGTTGTTAGCTTGTACTTGTGGCAGAGAGATTGAAATACATTTCAATTTTTACGGTAAATCATGCTGTTCGTAGTAGCTAACTTTTAGATAAGTCATTTTCACCAGTCTTTTGGGGTTGAATAGGGCCACCAAGCATATTATTTCCATAGTCGTCGGCATTTTTAAAGAAACTTCTTATTATATTCTGCTGTCCGATTACTTCAGCAGTTAATTAACTAATTTTCATGCCACAAAAATTCTTTCCTGTTATACTTCGGGGCTCTTCTTCAGATAGTTCAATGCCTCGGGATATTATGGGCCCATAATATAACTAGGGGAAACAATAAAACGGTTTTTATTATGAAAATAGCTTCTATATGTTTAAGCTTTTACCACAGTCATTGGTCTAGATATCTGTTAAAAATTTTTAACACTGGATCAGGCGGAAACTGAATAGTTCATTTTGCACATATAACACTGTAGGTAAATTTTACGGTTTTGAAATATCACAGCTAAACGGCCAAACACGGAAACTCAATTTTGGCCTCTAGATTACGATGGCGTTTTCAGAAAATCCGTATCACGTAAAAATTTTGAGATATTAGGGGGGAAAGTTTAGAGTTCTTAAAGTGAATTTTTCGTAGTTTAAAACACTGTGCTCAGGTTTTGAATTTTTTTCTGGGCAAAGGTTTTGATAACTGATCTTACTTAACTGGGATCTTTTAAATTCAACGGCGTCCTCCGTTTTTCCAGATTGGCTCTAGTTTTCGAGATAACGGTGCTTGAAAATCTGCTTAAATTTTAGGTTTTTTGATAATAATTACCTCAGTTTTAGGGTAATTTTACTAAAATTTTGCACGTGACTGTACTTTGATATTACCTTAGCTATTTCTGAAAATCATGGAAATCGGTTCACCATAACATATAGCTCCCATACAACTGATTGCTAAGATATGTGGTTTTGCGTTACAACTCATATTTTATTTCATAATATTTTTTTATAATTATATTCAACAATTTATATTGAGCTCGAGGCCATTTTTTAAATGAAAATTTATTGTGGAAAAGCAACAATTTGAAAAAATGGTAGAAGTGATAGCTATTTCGGAAATCACCACATTTCCTCATCAGACTTCTTTCAGTAG